TGAGACATCCAGTGTGAAGAAATGAGAGATAATTGATTACCTCATTTCTTCCTGGCATCCAAAAAAAGTTTCAGTATTAAAAAGATACATTTTTAAAAAAAAATCTTTCTTGAGATCAATTTAAGCTGATTTCTGTATAGTTTTATACCTTTTGTGGCTAGGTAGATATCTAAGCAGATAATACTTACAGATACTTAAAAATCTAAAACTGAAGCATCCAAGAACATAGATGAAAAAAATAATGTCCCATGAAAAGAAGTATCCCTTTTTGTGGAAAACTGTGCATTTAGAGCAGGGCTCAGACAGTTTTATCTGCTTGTTAATGTTTTATACCATCTCTTTGCTGGACATTTGAGGCTTTCTGGGAAGACTGATGCCTGCTTTGATGAGACATGAGGTGGGATAGCCCATAGTAGGTGGAAGAAACATAGGCCTTTGAGATTTGTCAGCCTTCCACTTCAGCTGTCTTGAAAGTGTACTAAGTGTACAGTAAGTGAAAACAGAGTCAAAGGCCTTGATTCTGCGAGGTGACTCTTGCCAAACTGAAGTCTTTGTGTTGACTAGTCATGTTTTTGCAACTGCCCTTTGAGTCGTCAATATTTTGTATTGACAGCAAGATATATATGCACAGTGTGTTTTGGGAGAAATGCTGCAGAGATATCTCTTCTGAAATAGGCCTTTCTGGTCACTCGAGGTGTAACTTATTTTTCTAATGACAATAAAGTGTGATTCCTGCATTACAGAAGGAAAGGTTATACAGTGATTCATTTTGATTATAATGTCAAAACAAACCAGTGCAAGAATTGGAACTATATAAGGTCTTTTGTCCCCCAGTTCCACTCATCAGAGAGCTCTCAGAGAAGCAAACTGTTGATTCCAGGCTGGTGTTGATTGGCAGTGCCTCGTGCTGTCTGAGGCTGTGCAATGTACTGCTGCTTTGATCTTTAAGGGAGAAAAAGCAATGTCTGGGCATGGTAAAAATCCCAGGGCAAGAAAGGAGAGGTGTTAAAATCTGCAAGGTTTATCCATATCTTTCCCAAGTAAACCTGCATAATCAAATCTAGGTTGGGTATAGACAGGTTATATTTTTGCTGGCATAAACAGGAACTAAGTCTTTTCTCTCATTTTCCCCCATCCTGGTTCAGCTTTCTGCACAGTTGAGAAAATGAAGTGAAATATTCTTTCCTTATTCTAGTACTAGCTGTATCTAAATCTGTCTGGCTGTCATAATTTTTAAGGGTGTAATTTAAACTCCAGTGCTGTGCAATTTGCCCAATTGTAGATTACTTTCTGTTAGTAAGAAGCATATTCTTGGAGAGCCTTCTTTAAAGGCAGAATTGGAGTGACCAATCCTGTGTTGATTCCTGTTGAGACACAACTAATCATGGTGTGGTGGAAATTCTGCAGTACTTAGTAAGAGCCAGTGCTTGGTCAGCTGGTGCCTGCCCTACCTGTAGCACAGGTGCTCTCCCACATTGAGGCTGTGGCTTTCTGGGAGGTGACCAAGACATTTCTAGGAGAGTTTTTTCTCTCAGCATGCATGTGACTGACACTTTTCAAGTGGGGTACTCCAGTTCAGGGGGTGTGTTGGACATATTCCCTTTGCAGTGACAATACAGTCTGAACCAGTTCACCCGTGTGAAGACAAGTTTTTCAGCAGTTTCTGGAACAGAAAGACCTCAGCTTATTACAGCACAAAGAAAACCTGTAGCTGCATCCATGCTGACTGATCTTGATGCTTTTGTAGAGCCTTACTGGAGCTGCCAGCAAATGCAGGAGCCCATCCTTGCAAGATGAACTGCAGCATGTGCCTGATGTTAGGAGAGCAGCAGCAAAAGAAGCAACAGATTTTCTGTGGACTGAAATAAAATGGGAACTATTACTTACCTTTGCATCTGTTTAAACTATTTTTTTTTAATCTCATGCCTCTGTCACTGACAACTAGAATCACACCCGAAGTTTTTGAAATCTTCAACTAAAATTGCATGTTTCCAGATCTGTATTTTAAGTTTGTCTGGTTTCTTCCTGGCTGTTTCCATTTAGGATATCCTTAAGAAGCTTGGGAATGTTGCACACCAGTTAGTTACATGACAAAGGTTTCCTTGTGGCCACTTTTCTGTTTTGTGTGTAGGAACTTTGCTACCATCATGACATCGAATTTTAGAGCTGCTGTCAGCAGAGATTATCAGTGAATTTTCATGTTTTCAGTCTAGGACCTCATATTTCCTAGTTCATCCCTCTCTGAAGTAGCTGTAATACACATACTGTCTGAAAATAGTGAAGTAGTACAGGCATGTTGCTCATATGGAGATAAGATGTACAGCAGGACATAGATGGTGTTGCTTTTTCACAGTCCTGTTTAGAGTGTGTGGCAGAGATGAGGGCTGAAGGTCTGTGCAGCCTGAAATACACAGCAAAGAGAGCTCAATGTCCAAACAGACGTTTCAAAGTTCAGAGGGACAGTACTGTGGAGGTCTCAGATTATTGCTTTCCTTGTTATTGTATCTGTTGTGTTTAAGTGCTTACGCATAGAAGTGAAGAACAGGAAAAAGTACATTGGAAGAGTAAAGTTGTAGTATGTATTTCAATATAGTGTGTAAAGCAGTATGTATTTTGGGTAAAGTTTAGTGTTAAAATGGAAATTTAAATCTCTGTGAACAAATAAAAGGAAGTAACTTTTGAAACAAATTATTTTATAAACGTAGCTCCTTCTCAAAACATTGAATTTAAAACTCCAGAATGGCTACTTAGCCAGGGTATGTCTACCAGTTGTAGTCCATGTTTTCAGAGGAGATTTGATAAGTGGAGTCATTTTATTTCATCAGGGTCTGCCTTACCATCCTGCTTACCTTTCCTTGGGAACTGTGGTTTGAGGCAAGCTCTGAAAGAAAAGTTTTCCAGGAAACACTGCTCAGAAAATGCATGTGTGACTTTGGTAACAACTGAGAATTACCACTGTTTGACATCTTTCTCTGCGATAAAATGCTTTTTCTCTGGTGCACTAACAGGGATAGAATTGATGAGTCTGAAGGGCACTCAGTAGGGGGTATTTAATGGACCCTTTTGTCTTGTAATTTCAGTACAAAAGAGTAAGGTCACGGAAGCCTGAATCTGCCTAGAAGGTGTTGAATTGTTTATTGAACTTAAAGAATAGTTGAGTGGAATTTTTCATCCATTAATTTTATTTCCTCTTCTGCTTAATTAAGGAGAATTGTAATTAATAAATTTCAACCAATTCATAAAGAAGGAAATGTAAAAAAACCCCATATGTTTACTCCTATGTATGGGAAGAGTTCTAAACTTCTAATGGCATTTCAGAACAAGCTTCACTTGAGGAATTCTAAGTAGGCAGATGTTCGTTGCGAGTGGACATGCAGTTTTTACAGCTGAAGTTGTGTTTTGTGTGTGCACTGAAGTAGGTGGTCTCAATCTGAATCATATAAACAGCTGTGTTTGCCATTTTGCAGTGAAACTAATCTTACTCACAAAGAGCATTCAGGTTTTATCTTCAGCTGTTTTCAGTGAAGGGCTGAATTGCACTTCTCAAAAACTGTACAACGGATTCGTTTATCTCTTCCAGAAGGCTTAGGGGATCTACTCTGAAGTTTTACTCCAAAGGAAAACTTTTGAGGAAGTTGGTTTTAGTTGTTATAATGCCTTTTCTGGAACTTCTAACTGTGCAGTAGCTGGTCTTTCAAGTTCATTATCCTGCAAAGAGGGACTTGGAAGAGAAATACCTACAAGTGGAAAATAATAATTTTCACAGGACTAGGAAAGATTAGAGCAACTCATCAGGGTTTAGGGAATAATTGTGAAGCTAGCTCTATGTGATGATTTCCAAAGACAGTGCATTCAAATGATTACTTTTTTTTCTTTACAGTAGGCAAAACTGTCTCTCTGAATTGGAAAACACTATATTTTTCTATTTTTTTAATGTTGAAAGAACTATAGACTGTATGAACCTGGGGCTGTTTCCATGAAAGCCATGTGCAGTACCTGCCACAATGGTTTGATAATGCTGTGAGGCCTCCAGGTGCTGTTGCTGTAAAAATAGTTACTGTGATGCCTGTTGCATCTTTATAGCTTGAAGATGAGGTATGTTTGTGCTTAAGAGCACCAGGGGATAGTTTCCAAACTGTGCTTATTCTGAATACCAAATAACAGATTTAATTGTAAATTTCCATGTAGAAATTAATCAGAAGGAGATGGTTGAGGGAGCGTGGTGTGCTGCTTGTGCTTGTTTATCTGAAGAGATGTTAGTGGCAGAACAGTGCACTTGTCAGAATTTCAGGTAGTTAGGTCAGATATTATTATGGGAGCACCTAATTTCTTTAGCTTTCCTCTTAATTTGTATCATAAGTGAAAAAGTCCACCTTGGATTAGATTTTTCAGCACCAGCTGTAGTCTTAGCTCTGAGACTGCCTGTGGCCAGTTAACCCACAGGAAGGGAGTCTGTGATACAGCAGCTGCTACGTTACTCTGCTTCCTTCCTCCCTCTTTGCTGATGATGCCAGTGCACAGTGAGAGGGTAAAAAGGTACATGGCAGCATCCACAGGTACAATTCCTGATTCCTGGCTGCCATTTCGATCAGAGCAGTTTATTCAAGATGGATTTGCAACTCTGCCTTTTGTTGCGTATGTCTTGGCTGGGACAGGGAAGCTGACCCAAGTATCATTCCTGTTGTCTCTGTATAACTCCGTTAACAGGTGAAGAACACTTGCTGGAACTTGTTGCACTGTAGCAATAGATGCAGAAGTTTTTGTCTGCTTCTCTTTGAAACAGTTAATAGCTCTGTCACTTTTAAAAGTGATGCTTACTGTGGTAAATGTTGTTCAGCAATGGTGTTGCAGCTGACAAATGGGACAAATGCAGCTTGTGAGGGACATCTCTGAGAAGGAAATATTTTTATGTTAACTGTAGAAACTGCAGTCTTTACAGATAACTTAAAATAAGCAACTGGTTTATTAACAAGGTTTTTTTTGTTGTTCCTTCTAGAATAAAGGTTCACTTCAGTTCGAAGACAAATGGGATTTCATGCGCCCAATTGTTCTGAAACTTCTTCGTCAGGAGTCTGTCACAAAACAGCAATGGTTCGATCTGTTTTCGTAAGTGACTTCTTAGTACCTTACATCCTTCTGCATAATGGGAATACAGTTACTGTACTACTCCTGGTACAGAACAAAAGTATTAGTTTAACTTTTATGAAGTGGTAAGTGTGCCTACATCACTGTAAATGTGCAAAATAGAGTTTTGCTGAGATTCAGATCTTTGCTAACAGGATGGAGAATGGTCAGCTGAAGTCGAAAGCTCTGCTGTTCTTAGTAAGCAAGTTTTATACCTGCCCACAAACCTTTTAGTAGAATTAGAGAGAAAATGTTTACTTGCTTTGTCAGTAAGTTTGTTTAAAGGCAGTTTGCTGAATGTTAAATGATTCTGATTTGAATGGCTGTCTTCTAAAATAACTTAAGAATGCTACTGAAGTAACAGGGTGGTGCAGTTTAACGGGTATAATTTGAATAGTTTTACACCATAAGAATGAGATATATGTATAAAATATATATATGATATTTTTCAGACAATGTTCGCATCAATGTACTTTCTAGAAGCCCTGCCATTTTCCTCCTTCCAAAACACCAGAAGTTGATTCCTGTTACGTGATGATTTTTTTCTTCCTCATGTCATTTTTGCCAACATAACATGGAAATGAGTTACAAAAGAGATGTTGGAAGTATATCTAAAATAGTCTTTGTCCCAAGGGAGTTATTTTCCCTCAAATACAGTTGCAGTTTAAATCTGCAGACTATTCTGCTTTTTAAAATCTGTCACAAAAGTATTTTTTACTCAAGTGCAGTCTTGTTGCAGTCTGTGCCTTTATTGCTCTTTTCGATGAGGATGGTGTGATTCTTATTACACCATCTTACTGTACCTGTCATGCTTTTCTGCTACCCAAAAGGATCAGCAGTTTATCATAAATGGGTTTTAATATCTTATGGTGTCTCTTCTGTAGTGGTTGCCAGAAACACGGTATAGGTTAAGGTACAAATTGAGTTCCAAGTCATTGCTTTAATTTTTATTAACTAGTTCAATAATTCTGCACTGTATTGAAATGTTCTATTTATTATTTTTCTTGTAGCTGAATTATTGACTAGAACTTGGGTAACTTCATGGCGAATTAAGGCTATTGAGGGAAAGGATCCCACTCTCCTAGGTTCATGTGTTTGGACAGTGCTCTTTGTTAATCTTCTTAATAAAAATTCAAAATCCGTAGGTGTCTTCTACCTGCCCTTTGAGTATAATTATCCAGTATTGCTTTTGTCACTGCTGTCAGGGAACATTGGGATTCTAAATACAGTAACACCTTTTCTGCATGTGAACGTTGCGTAAGTCTCACCAGTTGGGTAGACCTGTGTAAATCCTGAGCCAGCACCTTTGATCTGTGTCAAAGGACATTTTTACCTTGCAACTTCTGTCCTTTAAGTTAAACTGAAAGAGCTGCTTGTGTATTGAAATAAGTGCATTGAATTAATAGGAGCACGTTAATAACTTCAGGTTATATGGCTGCTTTCCTGCAGAGATGTGGCCTTAGGACTGAAAAGTGGAAGAAAAGCCAGAGGATGGTAATGAGCCAATAAAAGGCTTGCTAGGCTACGTTATGTGTGATGTATGGTTAGGAGTGTAACTTGCTTTTTTCAGTCTTCAGTATGGAAAGAGTAGGAATTAAGTTACACTTGCTGGGCTGTCAGCTAAGAAAAATTTTATTTGGTTGTTGATTAAAACTCAGTAATAGACTTTTGCTTTGTGTTGCTGTTTGGTAGCTTTTCTGCAGTAAGATTTCACTTTAAAATGCTACCACTGCCATGAAGCATCTAAGTGATCTTATTAAACTAATTAAATTGTCCTTTAAATTACCTGATGCCTCTGAGTTCAGATTTCTTACGAGGAAGGTCTGTTTCCTTTTTAGCACAAGGATGTTGCAGTGCTTGGATTGTGAAACTGTCAGTGAAGGCTGCATGTTAATGAGAGTATTTTAGAATAGTATGGGCTGAGTGGTAATGCTGCTACTGGCAGGTGATTTCTATCTTTCTCAAAGAAACAATGTAAAAATTGTCCTTAATTCAGTAAGGATTATTGAATAGATACTGAAAACGGAAGTGTCTTACACACCTCCTTCTTGACCTCTGCTAGGTAGGCTGCAGTTAGTTGCTTCCAGGACTTTTCTTAAAGCTTCAGTCTCTTCCCCAGACATGTTTTCTCACATGTGTCATTGCGATCTGACTGTGTGTTGTTTGACAACAACAGATAAAAAGTGTATTAATTTCTTAGACATAGTGAAATTATGACTGTTTAATCCTCATACATTACAGCATTAAAATTTGAGTAGCTGCTACTAAATGGTGGATAAATTGTTTTCTAGAGATGTACATGCAGTTTGCTTGTGGGATGATAAAGGTCCAGCTAAAATCCATCAGGCTCTGAAGGAAGACATCCTTGATTTTATTAAACAGGCACAAGCAGTAAGTTCTTAACATTTCATAACTTCTATTCATATTGCTAAAAAAGTAAACAAATAGTTCTGACTTCCATTGGGTCTAAATGCATTGCTTTTGCTGTTTGAAATTTTGTGATGTTCTGGAGGTCATAATTACACTGCAAGCTTCTTTTGAGAAGAAGACTTAGCCTCGAGCATTTGCCTTGGCTCATTGTTTTCTTCAGTCCTTGAAGCAGGGGTGGGCAGTGATTTTTTGTGTTACATTAAAAAACCCCAAACACAGCATTATTTTTGTTTATCCAACAGTACTTATGGAATCTTCTTCCACTCGAAAACTCCTTGAGGCAGAATTTTCCATAAGAAATTACTGTCTGAAAAAAAAGAAAATTGTTTATATAGCTTCAGTGCTCTGCTGACATGTTCATGGACAGCTTGAAAATAAGCCATATGTATGGCATACTACAAATATCTGTGCTACCAACTCAGCAAGCTGAGCTGTCCAGTTTTATGGGCTTCTCTCCAATTGAGTGAAGCTGTCAAGAGATTCAAAGGAAATTTTTGTGTTTGTGAAACACAGAGCAAAAGATGTTTTCTGTAAAAAGGGATTGAAAAGAGGGGGTTGTTATGAAATTGAAAAAAAAATTGGAAAGGAGAAAATGAAAGTCTATAAAATCTCTTAGTGAAGTGATTTAAACCACTAAGGCTTTGCTTAAAGGAAAATAGTTTATTGTAGAGGCCTTTGTATAACCAGGCCTATAAATGTTGATTTTTAAGTTCCACAGCTTACTTGGTTATATGCATAAATGCTGTGCTGAACTGAGCCCTTTGATTTGGTCTGTGTTGGCTGTTTTTTGAGGGCAGGTTTTGAGGCATTACGATAGCCATTGTACAGTGCAGCTGTAGTTTCCAGGCTTTAATAAAATACACATTAACTAGCTATCTGGGTCTAATGAAAAGTTAGTAGATGCCATTGAATTAAAATTTTTGTTTTATTATTTTTATTATGGTTGTACCAGTACATGCCTTTAGATCAAAGGTTTTAATATTTTTAGCTTGCACATGACTTACAAGGCAAAAAAAGGTTAACTTGGAAAATTTAAACTTACTGACTACTTGTTTGCTGTTATCTTTCTTTCCCCTGTAGAAATGACCCATGCACCATAACTACTTCCATAAACTAAATAGCACTTTAAATATGTAGACTTTCTTATTCTGGTATATCTGTGCATTTGAATTTTATATGGGGAGCTATTTCCAGTATAAGCAAAGTCAGCCCATGTTTTGTGCATAACTCTGTTTATAAATTACCTCCTCTTCTCCCCTCCTCCTCCAGAGAGTGCTGAGTCATCAAGACGACACAGCTTTGCTAAAAGCATATATAGTGGAGTGGCGCAAGTTCTTCACGCAGTGTGATATTTTGCCCAAGCCATTTTGTCAATTAGAGATTACTTTAATGGGCAAGCAGGGCAGCAACAAGAAGTCTAATGTAGAAGACAGTATTGTTCGAAAGGTAAGTGATAGGTGTTAAGAGCTTTGTTGCTCACTGTTCTGCCTACAGTAACAGTACTGAAGGGATTCTGTAGCTGAAGATGAAATCACACCAGTCGTGTAACGTGACCTATGACTTTGCTTCAGTGTGAGGGTAAGAACAACCCTGCAACTTTTTTTTTTCTTTCCACAGTAGTTTCACTCTGTTTCTTCAGTTTTGCTTTGGCTGTTAACAGTTTTGTTCATGTGATGAAAGCCCTTTTCTGTTGGGGTTTGGGTTTTGGTGAGTTTTATTTTGGTTTTTAGTTATGGTTTGGATCCTGGAATGGCAAACAGTTTTTCATTCACCTACTTTTGCTATATTTGTGAGTAGCAAATATATTCACCCAGATATATATATAAATGAGTAGTTTTTCTGCTCCTAGTTTATATCCCTAGGCTGAAATCCTAACTGGGGCATATCTCTGTATTTTATAAATGACCAATTAAATACTGTCATTTTAAGTTAAACGTAGCTATTGATCTCCTGATTTCCCCTTTTTTATACAAACTGTCAGTCATATCAGAGAAAAGACTGGACATGTAGAGTCTCATGAATACGATCTTTTCATGTCAAACACGTAAGGAAAGTCTATGGTTTTGGGTATGGAGTGCTCAGTGTTCTGAGTGCCATGAATAATGGTCCCTGAAATTGCTTTAGTCTTTTACTATAAGAAAAATGGAGCATATCAGTTTTAAAGTGTTAAGTCCTTTAGTTTAACATCATTCATTATCCCTTTTTTTTTAAATGAAATTTCTTCAGCAGCCTTTCATTTGGTACAGGAGATTATTTTAACTGCTCCCCTATCTCCAGGATGGGAAGAGCAAAATAGTTGCAATGCCTTTGGACAAGATTTCTTTCTTTGCTGCGACTTTGACATCTTATCCTTTATACTGCTGGAAGAAAAGGAAGAGAGAACATCAAGAAAGAGGAATCACTACACTACCTCAAGTTACTTTTTCAGTTTTCATTGTTTGCTGGAGAAAGCATGTGATCTTATTAGGCTCCAAGATATGGCAGACTTGAACTCTTAACTCTGCTTTATGCAGAGGAAGGAGAACTAAGAAATTGAAGCAAAAACAAGGTGGAGTGGACAAAGTAGTGAGGAGAATCTGGGAGAAAGAACTGGTATCTACCAATTCAGATTTTGATCAGGACTGAAGCTGATGGAGGTGTCTTGTCTCTCATGTGCAGCCCAGTTAGGACCAGCTCATAACTGGCCCAGGGTCTTCAACCTACCTCATTATCTCATACTCACTGCTGAAGGTCATTCCCTGTTTCTGGCATTATTCTCTAGTTTTCTAAAGTGCCTTGTGAAAACTTTACCCATGCTTAAGAAGTTCTTCATATTGCCACTCAAAATGATATATCTGTTTTCATTCAAGTATCTTGATAAAACTTCTCTATCCATAATGTCTAGAAAGAGTTGGACATAACACGGTTGTTAATATGCTTGCCAGGTTGCTTGACATTATCTCGGTGTTTTTTTCTCTCCAGTTTTTACTCATTTCAGCTCTTGTAAACTAGTTCTATAATAGCACAGGGTGACATAATGTTTATATCAATAAAGTTAAAATAATGAAAAAAGTAATTGAGGAAGCATAAATAAAGCTTTGCTTCTAAGAATGTTCCAGTGTTTTAAACATTCTCTTCCAACACATGACTTAAGTGTCAGAAATGGAAATTTAGCTAAAATTGAGAGACAGTTATGGAGAAGTTAAGAATAAAGCATGGTAAACTTAACTCTCTTGAAAGGATACTTGACTTCTATAGGTGCTTGCTATGTTAAAATCTAAAATCTACAAAGAATGGAATAAGATCATCTAATCTTTACTATTGACTTTGCTATACAGTGGTATCAGGTTATCCTAAGCTCGTTTTTAGCAACCTTATTCACAGTCACAAGGTAAAGTTTGAGTTGGTAAATTTTGTTTCCAGACTGCTTTCCACTGCCAGTATAGACTGGCAATTATCGTGCTTAAATTATGTTCATGGCAGTTACTGCCAAGTTTGTAGATAGTGGAATTTTGAGCCTTATTCTAAAGCAATGACTGAGCCTGAGTTGGATAGAATAGATAAACTTACCTTTTAAGCTTTGGCATAATTTCATTAGGTATTCAGTGGCATATAGAAAGAGCCAGATCCCGTGTCTACAGGCAGAAAAACCCAACTAACTTGCATTTTAAAGGTAACTTGTATTTTAAAGCCAACATGTAGCATGCTTCAAGTATTCCCTACTCAACATCTAGTGGGGCTTAGGTGGGCACAGGTATGGTGGTCAGGTGAAGTGCAGTGCATTTGGAGCAGCGTCTGTAGCAATCACCAAAGATAAATAAATCACACAGTGAAATATAAAGGGACCTATTGACTGATGACAATTTTGACAGGAGCCTCCATAACTAATTTCAGAACTTTGCAGTGCTTAGATGAGATGTGGAGTTTTTTAGAAATTACATATGCATTACTCCCATATTGAACTTTATTGTTAGCTAAATGCAATCCAAAACCATCAGTATTTTCTTTACAAACTGTGGTGGTGAGTTTTTAGGGTTGTCTAAGACTGAACCTGCCAGATAGTGAACTATATTTGGATGTTTGGCTCAAAAGTGCCCCCTGATACTGCAACTCTTGACGCATTGCATTGCCGGAAAAGTTACTTGCCTGATTACTGTAGAAATAATACAGAATTATGGGGTTAATACTTGCATTAAAGACTGATTCCCCTAGCTGTCCAATTACATAAAGTAAGCATGGAATATAAGCTGAATATTACATTTATCACAAGCTCAGAGCAAGATGGAGTTCTAATGTAGCTGAACTGCTGTATGTGACCTGAAAATTCCATTATAAATTGCTTCATTTCTGTTTCAGAACTCTTGTATTTCTTTTGCGCAAGCTTAGGCCTGTGTGTACCTTTCTGACAGGATTTGTATTTTTTTCTCTTCCTGACACACAGCTCATGCTAGACACGTGGAATGAATCCATATTTTCCAATATAAAAAACAGACTTCAGGACAGTGCAATGAAGCTAGTTCATGCGGAAAGACTAGGAGAAGCTTTTGACTCTCAGCTCGTTATTGGAGTTCGGGAATCATATGGTATGTCTTGCACAGACTGATCTGTTGCCTTCTCACTTTCATACAAAGTTGGCAGTTGTGGGGTCGGGTTGGAATTATCATCTCAGTATTTTGTATTGATTTTTTTGTTGTTGTTGTTCTTGTGAATACATGATACCAATTCAATGCTGTTTGTAATCTTCAGCTCTAAGTGATTTACAGGTGTATCAGTTACTGAAAAATCCTTGTTTTCAAAGAGACAAAACTACTTTTTGGCCTTTTGGGGTTGCAGATATAACTTTGTACTCCTTTACATACTGTTTCGGATTCTTCAGACAGTTTGAAGAGAGATCACTCAGCAAATACCGTCACAGACAAAACAGACTCAAATTATGGAAATTAAGTGAATTTATTACTAATCAAAATCAGAGCAGGATAATGAGAAATAAAACAAAAACACCTTCTCACCTGTCCCTCCTTCCTGAGCTCTGCCTCCTCCCCTCCTGCAGCACAGGGAGACATGGAATGGGGGTTAGTCACTTCATCACACGTCGTTTCTGCAGCTGCTCTCCAGGAGAGATGTCCGTCCCCTGCTCCAGTATGGGGTCCCTCCCACAGGAGGCAGTTCTCTATGGACTTCTCCAACGTGAGTCCTTCCTACAGGCCACAGTTCTCCATGAACTGCTCCAGTGTGGGTCCCTTTCCACAGGGTGTAGTCCCTCAGGAATAGGCTGCTCTAACCTGAGTCCCTGTCAGGGTCACAAGTCCTACCAGGAAACCTGCTCCAGTGTGGGCTCCTCTCTCCATGGGTCTACAGGTCCTGCCAGGAGCCTGCTCCATCATGGGCTTCCCATGGGGTCACAGCCTCCTTTCAGGCATCCACTTGCTCTGTCATGGGTCTCCTCCACGGGCTGCAGGTGAATCTCTGCACCCTGTTAACCTCCATGGGCTGCAGGGGCACAGCTGCTTCACCGCGGTCTGCGCCACAGGCTACGGGGATCCTCAGCTCCAGTGCCTGAAGATACCTCCTCCTCCTTCTCCACTGACCTTGGTGTCTGCATGGTTGTTCCTCTCATGTATTCTGACTCCTCTCTTCTCTGGCTACAATTACATCTGTGCAATAACATTTCTCCTTCTTAAATAGTATCACAGTGGCTTTACCACCGTTTCTGATTGGCTCAGCCTTGGCCAGTGGTGGGACCATCCTGGAGCCACTGGCATTGGCTCTGTTGGACATGGGGGAAGCTTCTAGCAGCTTCTCACAGAAGCCTCCACTGTAGCCCCTGCCCTGGTACCAAAGCCTGGCCATGCAGACATGATTCATTATCCTAAACCAACTGCACCTAAGACTTTTAGACTTTCTCTTTGCAAAACAGATCTGTATGTCTGAAACCTTTATGACATTTCACCATTGCCTGCTGATTTTCAAAGCTTTGCAGACTGTTGAATTCAGCTTGTGGCTAACAGTCTCTGTTGGCTTTATAGATGTCCAGTTATGAATTCCATTTAATGACTATTTATTTCTCTGTGACAGCTGAGAGGAAAGTGGAAACTCTTTTCCAGATAGTGCAAAGCACTGCAATAAGCTCACTGTCTCCATTCTTGTAAAACAGGAAAAAAAAGTCTAGAATGAAGACATTGTGATTCTAAGAACAGCATCCAAGGAAAGCTCTTTTGCTCAGTCAGGTGGAGAGCTTTCCATTTTATTAGGCATTATGCTAAGCATGTTTGCTTTACTTAAAATTTTGCAGTCGCATGTGTATTTATGGTTAGTATGTTTGAATGTGCTGGATCTAAGTATGTGGTTCTTTCCAGTTCCCTATAGTTAATGTTTTTTTGAGCAAAGACTGGACAAATTGGGTTACTTTTTGTGATCAGAGTGCTTTTATCAGATACTTCAAACTGTTCAATGCAGCCTTTTAATACAAGTCTCACTCTCTCATTGAGATTTGCTTATTATTAGCCACATAAGTTTCCACATAAGATTTGAGAGTAAGTTTGGACTTTCTCTTTGCAGTTAACCTTTGTTCTAATCCTGAAGATAAACTTCAGATATATCGGGATAACTTTGAAAAGGCATATTTGGATTCAACAGAGAGATTTTATAGAACTCAGGCTCCTTCTTATTTACAACAAAATGGTGTACAGAATTATATGAAATATGTAAGTAAAAGTTCTGTTGTAGCTTTGTTCTCAAAGTGTTAGTGCTTAAAATGATTGCTGTTCTACTTTTGCACAGGCAGATGCTAAACTAAAGGAAGAAGAGAAAAGAGCACTACGATATTTAGAAACAAGACGTGAATGTAACTCTGTAGAAGCAGTGAGTATAATGTGTAGAAAAATTGTGTATTTCATCTTTATATGGTATTATTACATTGCAGGGGGTTTTTTTTTGTCTCACAATATTATTTGGTAGCAGTAAATTTATATGAAACTGTTTATTTTATGTTTTTTTTATCACACATTATGTTATTTCTTGCAAAAATCTGTATTACTTTCCAGTCTCGTAGTCTACAATTTCTGCAGGTGTTTTAATGGTACATGTAGATCAAAAGTTCAAACTGAAGGGCAGGTTTTTATTCAGGTTGGCTTTTTGCTCTTTCGTTTTGAGTCAGGTATGGGTTTTTTCCCCCCTATGCTTGACAGTGGATGAGAATTATGTTTGAAAATAAACTGGCCAATCTGTTAGGCAAAGGGTTTCTCAGTGCTCATTTAGAATACCTGAATGAGTTGTTGTTCATTGCAGTCAAAAGGAGCAATAGAAATTTCATTGAAACTGTAATAGATTTCTGCTTAGGCTGAAATATGGCCATTTAATAGAAACGATGTTTATTTCTTTTTCTCCCCCTTCTCCCCCCTTGAGCAATATTTTATACAATTCAGATTCTGGAGGAAGATTTAGCTGCAATGAATAGTTCATAATTGTCTGCCTTGAAATTACTTCAGTAAACAGGTTATTTTATAGAAATACCTTTTAAATCTGATCATTTTTTTCAGTGGATCAAAATGTGCTTTGTGCCTTTTGTTAAGCTGTGAATCATTCATTTTGCACAGCTATAAATTGTAACCTGTATAAAGAGGCTGACAAAAGAGAGATGGTCCTGACATGTACAAGCAGTTTCTGTTCTAGATCTAGTGCCTTGCTCAAGTCAGCCAGGCTGGTCCAAATAGGGTGTGCTGGAATGAGAACTATTCTTAGCCCTTGGATGTATACTTGGAAACGAAGTAGGGTAGTTGGTGTTCCAAAAGTGGTGGCTCCCTTGGGAGAAAAGAGACAACAGAAATACTAAGCTAATAATGGTTTGGAAGAGTTTATCACATTTGCTAACCTAAACATTTTGAAGAAATACGATTTCTGTATAGATTCTATTCAAACTGCACATACTTTTATGAATCAGTGAATGAATTATTTTATAGAGCTAGCTGTTGAGGACAGACTAGATTTTGTGTCATAGCAGACTGGAGACACACTACACTTGGGTGTTCAGATGGCTACATGAGCTAATTCTGTGTTTGATATGTTTCAGCTAATGGAGTGCTGCGTCAATGCCCTGGTGACGTCTTTTAAAGAGACTATTTTAGCCGAATGCCAAGGCATGATCAAACGAAATGAAACAGAAAGTAAGTGAAGCTTCGAGAACAGTGCAGGATGAACCCAGCATCAACTGCATAAAAATAGACTTGTGTGTAGATATATCAATTTATTGTTTTTAATAGATGAGAGCAGTGTTTTGTAGAAAAATATTACTGCACATGAGCAGTTGTAGCCCACAAAAAATGACCATCATTGCTTAGTTGTTTATTCTATCACTTCTGAAATCTGTATGTACAGTACCCTAATTTGAATGAGTGGATAGGTCTCATCTTACTTAAAAGAATATTTTGTGTTCTGTTTTCCCTATTGTTTCCTACACTTACTTTCATCATATTGACCAACTTTGGTAAATGCTACATGTCTTTACTTTGTATTTAAATACTTCAGATAGAAACACTTTCCCTTCATTTCACGCCTGCCAGCCCCTTACACCTGGAAAAAAAGTGAAGCATCTCTATACAAAGCTTTTTTTCTGAAAGACAAGGGAGAAATTTTTCTTATTCTGATTGTTGGTGCAGGACCAGTAGGTCAAATGAACAAAATCTCTGCTTTTCATCTGGTTTTATGGCCAGTAGGTCAGTGTGAGTACTGAAAGTTAGCTCTGCAGTGCCTTTTTAAAGGTTTCAGAAGTTCTTTTAACTGCGCTGCCAGAAGTGGAGAGGTTAGTTTGATTCAGAAGTCTTCTGTTGGTCCTGTGTGATAAAACAAACTAGATACGTCACTAAAATGTTGTAATTCAGGTAAGGAAACTGAAAAAAATACAAGCTGAAATCACAGGTTAATTTTTCTTTGAAGTTTCCATGTCCTGCAGCCAGGGAATATTTACTAACGCGTTACAAAGTTTTTATTTCTACGGAAATGTGAAAACTGTTTTATGACTTAGGATATCATAGAAAATGCTCACTTCTAAAGCTAGCGTTTCAGCAAATATCTGACCTCAAAACTATGTCATACTGATCTGTTCATCTAGCAGCATGATTTCTGGCAGTGGTCCAGAACTAAATGTAGAAAGCTGCGAAACTTCTTAAGAGTGTATGTTACAGCCTTTGGGAGACTACAGGAGGCTTATGCAGAGCTTCAGAAGGTTTCATCTGCAGCAGCCAGGGCATCTTCCTTTAGAAGCCTGTTGAAATATTCACACAGTCCTCTCTTGTGGCTGTGTCTGCCCTGGGATACTGCTTGGTTGCAAAATACTTCCGTTTAGTACATAAGAACCATTTCAAATGCTTTAATGAAGACTGCAGGTGCAGATGACTGAAAGATAATTAGACTGGAGCTATACATAGTAATATATACATCTGGTAGTATTCTCTGCTGCACTGTGCTTATGCATGTGATGTTCTGATACTATTTGCCCCAGAGAATTCAGTGATGTTTTCTTTATTAAGTAGCACTGACAAAAAGGGACTGGTGGCGGTTTCTTTGGCGATGAGCTGGGCACTACTGTCAAATACTCTGTTACATTAAGTACTTGATCTTGACATGCTGTGCAAAAGAAGGAAGGAATAATATTTTCCAACTAAAAGCTAGCAAATATGTCATAGCTTGCAAAGACTTCAGAATTGACTTAGTGTGGTTTTGTTTGCTTATGGTGTTGGGGGTGGGAGGCCTAAATTTTGTTCTTGAAGTGCTTCATCATAACAAATAAAAAGTGCAGTTGGTTTTTATGAATACAGAATGAAAGCAGCCTTTAAGTGCCCCAAGAGCTACAATATGGATTTCTTTACTGTTCAGTGTCAGAACGTATTCTGAGAGAAATTGCAGTCAAATACTCCTTTTGGTTTTCTTTGAAATGTGTCTGTGAAGAATCTGGGGGGTTTTATGGATTCCTGCAGTTTCAGGGATGCACCTGGAGTCTTCCTTTGCCACTGATGCTTAGGAGAAACCACTTAATTTTTTTCTTGAATTATTCATGCCATCACTAGTTTACAGAAACAGTGATGCTTAATACGTTTTATGATTTTTCTTCTTCTGCCATCTCTTCCTGCTTCTTACCCTTTTTAAAAGTACAGATTAAAAGATCCAGTAAAAGCTGAGTTGAGCTTTCTAGACTTATTCTATGTAAAACAGTGCTGCCATCACTTACAGTAGATCTAAATTGCACTGAGAATGCCACTGACTCCATTTTTTTCTGGTTCCTGAAATCCTGTCTTTTAGCCCATTGTGATGTGTCTCCAGTAGCATTGCATGTTCTTACTGCAGGTTGTTTGTAGTTTCCATTTTTTCGTTAGCATTGGTATGTTCTAAAAGGGGTTTTGTTCCCCTATGTGCATTGTTTTTCTATTTGATTCTGCAGCAGCTGTTGAGATACAGTAGTTGATAACATATTTCATCCTCAGTGGTGGCAGGATCTTGATGTCTGCTGACAAAAGTATTGTGGAGGACAAGACAAACGCAGAACCTCTGACTTTTCCTGTTTCAAAGTAGATATAACACTGAGGAACTAAGCAAATCTATAAATTTTTTTTCTGTCAAAAAAGAATCAGTCTCCATGATTGATTTGTTCTACTTCATTAAAGAGAGTCCTTTGCTGTGTTGAGTTCAAATCTCTGTGGCCTCTCTAGAACAGTCTGGTGACCTTAATCCCAGTGTTCTTTGTGGACAGCTTTGTCAAGATTATTATTATTGATGTTTCAGTACTGTTTTTTTTTATTTCAGCAGTGTTGAAATACCTTCACAACAAGTACACAAAGCACATCACTTGTTGAAGTTTTTGAACTGGTGACTTTCAGACAAACTAAGTAAAGTCTTTTGGGAAAAAGATTCACTGTTTGCCTTTGTCAGTTTTAGCTGCTTCAGAATTTGGCATGCTTTTAATTAAAACAAAACATTGTAGATGGTATTGGAAGATACACAAGGAGAGCTCTGTTTGGCTTTAAGTTAAAATAAAAGTATGTCTTGATTCCATACAATCTCCTGCATAAACTCCTGTAGGCTTTCAACTGAGGGAGACCCATTTTGGCCAGGGATTTTAAGGCAGTTACATTGACAACCTGTACTGAATCCAATTTGCCATTGTTTTTTAGGGTGTTTTATTCAAGCTTGTGATATTATATACATAAGCAAATATTATGTTGCAATAAATATCTTTTTACCTTCAGAGGAATCTCCTTGTGGGACCAGAATTAGAACAGTACTCAAAACATCTTTCTTTTTAAAGAGCTGAATTGGATTATCTGTTCTTTACATATTTAGTGTTCCACTTAAAATCTCCCTAGCAGAAATGCAGTATATTTGGGTTTTGTACATGTCTTTGCCTGGTGCCTTCATGAGTATTTGTATCTTTCAGAGTTGCATTTAATGTTTTCACTGATGGATAAAGTTCCGAATGGCATAGAGCCTATGTTGAAGGACTTGGAAGAACACATTGTTAGTGCTGGACTTGCAGACATGGTAGCAGCTGCTGAAACTATTACTACTGTAAGTGTATTGTTTCTTAGTAAAATGACAATGAAAAGAGCTTTGCAGAAGTTAAATATTGTCTATTCATGGGACAAATGTAAATGGAATTTTTTTTTAAATGTTTAAAAATCAAATTTTGATACATTGAAAGTTTTACATGTCCTTAGGATAACTTTTTTTTTCTTCACATTTTCAGTTGTAGCTTTAAAAAGGGAATTTGCAGTAAAGAAAAGGTTATAAATTTAGTGCATGGGATGCTTATGATAAGGTTGTGTTGGCATCTTAATTAAAAAGGCTAATCAGTTTTTCCAGAATTCTAACTTCCTGTTGAAATTTGAAATTTGCCTTCAATCTAAGAGTGGTTGTTCAGTGTTGATATGGGAAGGTTTTTTGCCCCACTATTCTTGTTGAACTTCTTATGATCTTTTTTCTATGGGTCTAGGAGGCCTAAGTGTTTGCAGCAAATTAGCATGTGTCTCTTACTGGTCCTTCAAAACTTTATTTAGTTTAAAAGTTTTTGTACAATATTTGAAAGTTACATGTTTCTCATGTGTGTGTGTGTTTGTATATATATGTGTTAGTATATTGGATACACTATCCTGTAAGTCTGTGTTTACACTTCCATGCTGTAGAGCTCTTCAGTGCAGAGGGCAGAGATAAAATGCATACTCACAGTATGCAGGCTTGAGGTTATGGCATTGTTACAGATCAGGGAATTACTTGTAAACTCACACTGAATTCTGTGGAGCCTCAGTTGGTTGTTTTTTTATTTCTGCCTCTTTAGGATTCTGAGAAATATGTAGAGCAATTGCTCACACTGTTTAATCGGTTTAGTAAGTTGGTTAAAGAAGCTTTTCAAGATGATCCAAGATTTCTTACTGCAAGAGATAAGGTATGTGCTTCTGCTGAGCATTTGTTTGCAGTGTAAGAATTGTTGTAATTCATATTATGATGTCTCTGGAATACTTACACCCATTCACTGTTAAATCTAGACACTGTTCTTGCTCTAGTAAATATGCAGAATAAAATATCGATGAAACTTACTACAAGCTGATTAGCTTTTAATTTTGGTTGTAGTCCTGCATAGAGTTGCATGTGTTCAGCTTTGTAATATAGAGCACATTAGAAGATGATCTTTGTGTTGAGAACCTTATCTGATTCAGGAATAATTTGTGTTTGGAATTTACTGCATGTTTGTTTCATGACTTCAGACATGCAACCTGCTCTGTGTAATCCCTTCCTAAGTTGCTGTTTAGTGAAAACTAGTATGTTAATGGCAAAGAGGAAAAGGCCAAACATTGAGTCATAGAATTTGAACTCTCAAACTGGAAATCAAATGTGCAGGCTTTGGGCTAATTAAAAAAAAATCAAATTAATTTCATGTCGCAGCAGTGTAAAAAGAGATAAAAATCTTTGCAATTCATATGTTAGAGAAATGGAGTGAAGCACCAATAATCTGTTATTTTTTTCCAGGCATACAAAGCAGTTGTGAATGATGCTACAATATTTAAACTTGAATTGCCATTGAAGCAAAAGGGGTAAGCCATATAAAATTTATGCAAATCAGGGCTTCTAACATATCTCTTCAGGGTGTAACTCTGTGTTTCAAAGGGCTTTGTGTTATTTGCATTATGGAATTTCAGATTGCTTATTGACCCCTGGTCAGACACTTCACTTGGAAGTGGATCAGTGAATAGCAGGCAGTTTAAACTCAAATTTCTTTGTAGTAATTTGGGATCTGTTTTATACTGATGAGTCACTTCGTTAGCTGATGTTAATAATACGTGCCTGGGTTATTAATTCCAAACACCTGAGCTATATAACCCTGCCACAACTTCAGCAAAGTTCCCGGGGAGAAATGAGGCAGAATCTGGGAATAACTGGCTGATTAAGGTGTAACCATCCACTAGCTGTTTACCACCTCCTCTTGTGCCAGCTGTGAGCATGACCTGTCTGGCTGTTACATTTTTGCTTCGGTGCAGGATTAACCAGTTTAGATTAAACAGGTTCCAGTAGATTAGACAGACCTGAGTGACTCCAGAGGAAGAACCATGCTTATAGTGGCCACTCTGCTAACTCAGCCAAGAGAAGGTAACAGTCAGTTAATTGTTAATATTTACCATGTGATGTGCCACTTGAGCAGGAATCTGTATATATTTAGGTAGTTGGGATTGCTTATATATAGTTTGTAGCCTGATTTACTATGGAAACAAAGCTTATGTAGCTGGGCTGCCAGCTTCCCTTTCACTAGTTGCTTCTAGTTAGAGGTATAAATATATGTTCACCGTCTTGGTTCATTTTATGGATTTAGTTTTGGACTAATGGTAAGCCTGGACAGGGATTAGGCTTGCTCTTTTCATGTTACTAGAGGAATGCCATCACAAAAGACTGGATCCCTGCTTTATATACTTTGTATAGATGTAGGCAAGGTAGAGGAGCTTTTTAGATCTCTTCTAATGTTCTCATTTCCCCGGGAGCATCCAAATCAATACCTCATTCAAAATGTTTCACTCCTAAAGCAAAACTTGCCTAGTGGTTTCTTAGAAACCACTGTGATGGCAGTGGTCTTCTGTACAGCATTATTCTTCCCAAACACTTTCAAGTTGTCTACATATGCATTTCATCTTGCTTGACTTGTGCCGTTAAATTCACCCTAGGAATATGGAATTTGGTAATTTTTCACTGTTGTCAGGATCTTGAAGACTCCTGTTCAGAAATACCTTGGAGCATGTGGATGAAATAAGTGTTCTGTAATAACCAAATGGCTAGTGATCTGCTTGTACTTCAGATGGTCTCTAGGATGTTAGAAGACACTAGCCTGCAAGCTGCTTCATGAGTTAAAAAAAAAGACAAGTTGTGTGAAGTGTTAGCACTGTCTATACTAATTGACAAGAGAGTGAGAGGATGAGCAAGAACACTGGATTCTTGAGCTAGTTTTGGTCCCTTGAGACTAGCAGTCAAATTCATGCCATCTGACTCTAGGAATAGGGATTGGTCTGTGGAACTTGGTTTTACTCACCAGTCTAGACACAGATTCAGAACATGACCTTGTACTTACATGATTTTGGAGGAGCTATAGTCTGTCTACTGTAGCATCTTCTTGTTCAGCTTTAGTCTGCAAGTCCACTCTTCATACTGCTCACAAAATAAATTTACCCTGTTACTGTGTGGTAGATGCGTTGAGCTTTGCAGTCTCTGAAGTGTCATGCACGAGGCTGTTCTTGAGACTTCATTGCAGCATGCTGACAAGATGAGTGAAACATTTCACTGAAGCATTTGTTAATTTTTTGCTGGAATACTTTTTGCCATGCAATATTTAGCTGTTTCAAACTCTAGTTTCAACTTTATCCTTCACTGTTAGGGTTCTAAAATTATATGCAGTTGGAATGATTAAGCTGTAGAAGCTGTCTGAAAATGTTTGGTAGTACTTATTCTTTCAAGAAGAAAAGGGTGTTATCCCTAATTTTTCACTAGCTTAGCAAGGATATGAATTCATCACCAGGATCCTTGCCAAGGAAAAGAGTGGTCTGTCTTGCTAACAGTGTGACTACTCCAGAATAGCAGGATTCTGTATGGTTTGAAGATATGTTTTTTTTTCTAGTGTTGGATTGAAAACACAGCCTGAATCCAAATGCCCTGAGCTTCTTGCTAATTACTGTGACATGTTGCTAAGAAAAACACCACTAAGCAAAAAACTAACCTCTGAAGAAATTGAAGCAAAGCTTAAGGAAGTGGTATGTTTCTGCCTTCTACGTCTCAGTTATTCTAAAGAATTAATTTGTTTTATTTCCTTATGTGGGCCGAGGCCTTGATCTTCAAAAATAGTTATGGAAGGTGTAATAATAGGGAAAAGAGTTTATGATGTTATCAAGTGTGTGTCTGTTCAAACCCTTTGTAAATCATGCAGTGTTTCATGTCTCCTGTGTCAGTTCACAAAATTGGTATGCTAAGTTAACACCTATATGAGACTGAAATGTATTACATTAACTGCTGTTAGCCTAGAAAATAGTACAGAAGACTCTGATCTACCAGTGTCAGTGTCTTTTTGATTTAAGAGAATTTCTGGATGTTTGACAAATGAAGAAATTGAAGGTGTAATATTATGAAAGATTTGTATTTGGTGACTGTGAGAGTATCAACAGAGTTGCTCATAAGGCAATATCAGGTGGCCTTTTTCCACTTGTCTACAGTGCCATTAGATCAGCATTCAAAGACTTGTCTGATTGACAGTACAAATAAATACATTGCAATCTGTTTTTTGGCAGCTTTTGGTACTTAAATATGTACAGAATAAAGATGTTTTCATGCGATATCACAAAGCTCACTTAACGAGACGTCTGATATTAGATATATCAGCTGATAGCGAAATTGAGGAGAATATGGTGGAATGGCTCAGAGTAAGTAGCATGACATCTTTCTTTGGTTGTGTCTTGTGTTTGTGGTAATTAACATTCCCACTCTTGAATTTAGATATCCTTCTTGCTTAGGCCAGTGTTGTCTTAAGCTGTAGGCCACTCAGGGCATATTACACTTACCGTTTTCTCAATACTTTGTGGCAGTAAAACAATTTAGCTCTTTTCTGGGGGCTAACAGTGCTGGTGATAGATTCTTAAATACTTCACATATGGTTATCTGAAGGCTTCCTATATTCCATAATCAAATGAGCAAAATGCAGTGTACTTGTTTAGGTATGTAAACAATTTGAGATGCAATTCTAATTTTGAGATATTCACTAGATTAGAATATTATTTGCATGCCTTACACAGTCCTTCAAATCTCAGAGTTCATGGATTCCCTAATGCATGCACATGTTCTTCAGCACTTGCATTTCTTTATAAGAATCATTGTATGCCCTTGAGGGGTAACTACTTATGATCCATGCAAAAAAACCCCAAAACCTTTATATTACATTAGAGATGAACTGTAAAGTGATGATATCTGTGTGCTTTGATGTCTTAATTTTTTCAAGCTTATTATTTTAAAAATAAAATTTTTTGTTCATAGTTGTCTATGTCATAGTTTAGTGTTCTGTTTGTTTATATAGGAAGTGGGAATGCCAGCAGACTATGTAAACAAGCTGGCTAGAATGTTCCAGGATATCAAAGTCTCTGAAGACTTGAACCAGGCCTTCAAAGAAATGCACAAAAATAATAAACTTGCTTTACCAGGTATTGTTTTCAAATCATTTGCTATTTTTGAAATATGAAAATATGTAATATGGAAACATAGAATATGAAAAATAGTTCTCTTGAGTCTTGAGGTAAGAATGTATCAACTGCAAGTTGAACATGGTCTCCATGGCACTGTTACCCCTAGAGTGGAAGTGTCTGTAGACTCTGGTTTCTCTTGCAGTTGATGCTGCAGCTGTGTCATTCTGTGAGTTGTCGTGAGTTTTCATTATGAGCAGTCTTGCAGATACAGACTTCCAACTCTTGCAGATAAATTGCAAGTAGGGGCTTGACTCAGCATCAACCAGGTGTATGCCTGAACTACTCCCTTCTTTTATGCCCTCATCCTTCTTCATGAGTGCTCCATGCTGTGCTCCTCCTTTATCTGCCAGCAGGAAAGCTGGATGCGTGCTCTGAAGAGCTTAAATCACATTTCTGAGATTAAGTTTCACTGATGAGAGAGGCTGAGGAACAGCCAGTATTGGACCTGCCACTGCTGAAAACCCTTGAGTGGCACTTACAAGCATCAGCTATAAAGCTGCATCAGTGCTTAAGGAGCTCTGCAGAAGGATGACAAAAAAACCCCCAGATTTCAGTTAGTGTTGCTGGCAGAAAGCCAGTGGGGCATAAATAGAACACCTTACTGTTTAAGTAAGGTAGACACCCTGTGACTTTTTCTGACAATTCAGTCCTCCCTAATTGTATGCAGAGCAGAAGAAAAATAAGCACTTTATTTTATCTCTCTCTGTTATACCTGGAGATTCATATGATCCAATATCATCTTACAGCTGACTCTGTGAATATTAAAATTTTAAATGCTGGAGCCTGGTCCCGAAGTTCTGAAAAAGTGTTTGTGTCACTGCCCACGGAATTAGAAGATCTCATCCCAGAAGTTGAAGAATTTTATAAAAAGAATCACAGTGGTAGAAAACTCCACTGGCACCACCTCATGTCCAACGGAATTGTAAGTGCATAGTTTTCAGCATATCAGCCTCAGTGACTGTACTCTCTGTGTATTTATAATAGTAAGAAAGCTTGTGATCCAGAAAGGCTTGTGAGTAACATTTTCATCCTCTTCACAGATCACATTTAAGAACGAGGTTGGCCAGTATGACTTGGAGGTGACAACATTTCAGCTAGCTGTGCTGTTTGCGTGGAACCAAAGACCCAGAGAGAAGATCAGCTTTGAAAATCTTAAACTGGCAACTGAACTCCCTGATGCAGAACTTAGGAGGACTTTATGGGTATATCCCTTTCTCTTGACACAGATTCCTTCTTGGTTTTTGTACTCTGAAATACTGGATTAGTATTTTTAAAGCACTGTCAGATAACACTTTGTAACAGAAATGCGAACGCTTTTCTTGCTAATTAACCAGTTGTAATGCTGGTTCCTTGCACTGCTGCTGAGCACACACAGCCTTTGCATTAACACCTTCTCTCTACCCACTATTGCCTAACAAGCTTTTGGAAACAGCAAGATTCTTTTGGCCATATGCTGCCTAAAGCACAGAGTTGTGGTTGTGGTTTGTGGAGTGGGACTGGTCTAATTCTAGGAGATTAGTAGCACCTGATAAATACAAATTGCTTAAGAATAACATCAGTGTTTGCTTTATCAGACTTATAATTATTTAGCTCAAGAATAAAGAGAGAAATCACGTAAATCAGACTTAACACTGCTTCTGTAGCTGTGAGTTTGTGTATTTTACTTCTTTGTATGGTTTTGCTTATGCTAACCCATTTCAGGTGTTTTGGTAAACTGTGTCCCCTCTCGGGTTTTACTAGTGTCTTCGTGTTGTCCTCCAGCAGCTCCAAACAAGGCTACGCGTTTTCCTCGCTACAGTCTGCACGGCGGTGAATTATGTTCTTAGAAAGTAATTGTTTCCATTTAGAAAGTCTGGTGTTTTATTTTCATTCTTTCCCCCCTCCCCTTTTCTCTGTAGTCTCTTGTAGCATTTCCAAAGCTGAAACGTCAGGTTTTATTATATGAACCTCAAGTCAATTCACCCAAAGACTTTACAGAAGGAACCCTCTTCTCGGTGAACCAGGAGTTCAGTTTAATGTAAGATGATGTTTGAAAAGTCAAATAACAATGTACTATTTTCTAACTAAAGGAATTTGCTTTAACTTAACCTTTGTCCTTGAAAATTTTCAGAATTGAATTTCAGACATGTGCTTTGCTGCCCTGTTCTCACTTAGTTTTGGTGATAGTCATTCTTCAAGTAGGTGGTTGGACTAGATGACCTGCAGCAGCCTCTTGAGACTAATGTTTCTGTAGTTCTGATTTCTGTGAAATTAAATTTCTTAAACACCTAGCAACGAGCTGCAAAATTGGAGACATTGTTATGTTCCTGTTACCAGTGAGCCCATGAATTTTGTGGAAGAACAGTGGGTAATGAGAGCATGAATGCTGTATTGATTATTGCACATGCACAGAGTTACAAAAGTAGAGTGATAAGTTATAAAAGGAAATTAAGCTGCTTAATAATACGGTATGCTGTCAAAAGCTGGGATTTTTAGTGTGGCTCTCACCAGAGAGGATTGTCTTTGTGAGAATTGCAGGGCTTTTACCAGTGCTTTGAAATCCTTCAGAGTGTAAGATAATACAAAGAGAGAATATCTATATGGTATATACTACGTTCAGCATGTTTTATTTGGGGTTTTACCTCTCTGTTATCAATGGCTATGATTAGAACTGGCTCCTTGCTAGTAACCTCAGATTCTGTGCCTCATTCTCAGTACCACCTGGACATCTGATCTGTGGAGAAAGGGATAGGTAACAAATCTACTTTCCCAGGGCTTAGTTTCCTGTCCAGGGCCATAATGTTTATTCCTGTCATCAGGATTCTGAGCTTTAAGAAGTGATGGGAGGACGTGGCAGAAGAGACAGACTGTGCAGAAAGTTTGTGGGTAACCCCTGAAGAATGCCATCAGCTTTCTTTGTTACAACAGTTGGGTTTTGTCCTTCTTTACTGCTAGACAGATGGAATATTAGCTAGTCCAGTTTCCTGAACTTTGTTGTAAAAACTTCTTCCAAAGAACCCTGTTCTCATATAATTAAATTGAAATATATTTCTCTGAAATTTTATTCTTTAAAACAGTATTGGTAACTTTTCAGCTTCAGACATCGTCAGTTTCAGCTGATAGGTTTATTTGTAACACTTACTAGCATTGTTTAGGTTTTATTGTGCAGAAACATTGGCATTGAGTTTTGATGTGTCAGCCAGATATCTCACTGCTGCAATGCTAATAGCCTTGTAAATGTGTGATGCTGCTCCTTGCTGCTGTAATATAAGTTTGTCAGGAATTCCGTGATTGGAAGTGTAGTTTTTGCTTACTTTGATACAATACACCTTTTTCAGAAAAAACGCTAAAGTTCAGAAAAGGGGCAAGATAAATTTGATTGGTCGATTGCAACTTACCACAGAGAGAATGCGGGAAGAGGAAAATGAAGGAATAGTCCAGCTAAGAATATTACGAACCCAGGCAAGTGAACCCCCAGAGGAATGTAAAACTGCCCTGTTCTTTCGTTGTGTTATCGTTGCTGTAATTTGTTGTGCTGGCATGACATGCTGTCCACAGTCGGGTGGTGATGTATGAAGTGAATGCTTTTGAATCCCGTTGGAAATTACTGTTTCTGTTTGGCTGAGATCCTTTGTGAATACCTGATTTTTCATGTGTGTTTGTGCACGTGTAGTTATCAGCCTCCTGTTCTGAAATACCAGGTCATCTTTAAAGAGGACAAAGCAGATATTAAGCCAGTGGCAAAGGCAGAGCAGTGTAGTGGTGGCTGGCAGCAGCAGATTGGTAAAGTTGATTGACTTGAGCCACCACCATGAACAAACACTATTGTTGTTCTTGAGGTCTCTTTGCTCTGTATGAAGAGAATCATCTTGGAGATGGGATCACACTGTAGTAACAGCACTATGACTTTTGGAGAAGTCTTCTCCTTCGAGGGAGGGTTTAAAAGTGCACCTCAGCTGTACAGACTGCAGCTTCCTGCTTTGTGGTTAGTTGTCAGTCACCTACTCATGTCAGATCTTCTGAGCTGACAGTGCTAAAGAAACCTGAATTTTTTCAGGCATTCATTACCTGCAGTGGAGTCCCAAAAATCCCATTTTACCTTCAAGTTTCAGGTCTGTCCTATGAGTCAGATTAGATTCCAGGCCATACACACTGTGAATTGTACCACCTGATGTAGCATGTGATGTGGCCATGCTTGCAGCAGAAGGATTAATGCCTGGCTGTGTTTATGGAATAAGAACTCCTCGTGAGTTCCAGTTTGATATTAAGCTTCATTTCATGTGCTGCTGACAAGGTATATCACAAGTCACCTAGGAAATGGCAACTTCTGCTCAGAGAGTGTAAGAACATTTGGTTTTAGTGAGTAATTCACACTCTAAGTATGAGATTTGATTGCTCTATTGACTGGAATTGTCTTATCTCTTGCACTTGTCAGTTCTTCATTCTTTATCAACTTTGTAAAAGCAGTTTGGACTCTTGTTAGGCTAAGAAATGCAGCATGTATGTGATTTTTGAGGAAAAATACAGATTTCCTTGCTGTCTTGCCTTACCAGGAGCCCCCTGTTAATGCTGTGTTTATTTTGTCACTTCACCCATAATTTTCTCCCTCTTGTGCCCCCCAGGAGGCTATCATCCAAATAATGAAAATGCGGAAGAAAATTACTAATGCCCAGCTGCAGACTGAACTGGTAGAAATATTGAAAAACATGTTCTTGCCACAAAAGAAAATGATAAAAGAGCAAATTGAATGGCTTATAGAGCACAAATATATCAGAAGAGATGAGTCGGATATCAACACCTTCATATACATGGCATAACTGGAGGACTCTGCAGGATGCTGAGGACAGACATGGGAAGGTGCTTGGACAGACAGCTGCAACAGTTTGTGCTGCAGAAGAACTTGTTTTGACTTTCGTTACTTATTAAAATCCCTGCCTTACCTTACAGAGGACTATATTTTGCCAATCTCATTCAGCTAGCATGATGGCATTCCCTTCATGTTGCACACTTTTAACAGCATGCTGTTTTGTGGGAAACTTGCATTCATGAAGAGCCCATTGTGAACTTTTCAAAGTAGATTTGATTTATACCCACCAGGAAGAATACAGGTTTGGGTTTTTAGATGACCAGTACTTGCACAAGGAAAAAATATTCAAATATTCATGCACTGAGGAACTGCTATTAGTTTTGTTTTGGGTTTGTTGTTTTGGTTTTCTTTTTTTTTGTTTTGCTTGGTTTTGGTTTTTTGGGATTTTTTTTTAATGCAATTAGGACTAGAAGTAGCACTTTCACTTTTGTGTTTTGGATCAACAGAGTAACGTACTGTCCACCTTTGATCCTTTTTATGTAGTAACATTTGAGAGACACAAACACATGCATCACAACTGATACGTATTTGTTACAGTTAAAACCTGTTGGCTAGAGCAGTGCTTCAATCTAGTAACTGGATTTTAATAATTGACACATAAGTGACACAAAAGTAATTCCAAGTCATGGGTTATATTTTTCCCTAAGCAAGAGATCATTGTTTTTAAATTGTTTCCTGTAAACAAGTGGATATATGTTATTTGTTACCTTATCTGGATGGATGATTTGCTACAATCCTTTTTGAGAAGGTAAAGGTTTCTTGAATGATGCTTCGCTCTAAAAGCAGTTTTCATGGGTGGGTCTGCTGTACTGACCAGAAATATTAAGTGTATTTCCTTGTACATTTAATATTTGTATTCCAAATATTTAAGTATGACTACATATATCTGGATGCATTAAAGAGTAAGTGATGCACAACTCCCCCAGAAAGAGAATAACACTTGAAGATCCCTGTACTGTTTCCTCAGTGGTAACTTCTGTACACATGCAAGGTTAATCCAATTGGACTAGTCAATATCTTTATGTGGAGAAAAATCCCTCTGCTTTTTATTTTGTAACTGGCAGGATAGGAAATACAATTCTAATGAAAATGGTAAAAAACTAAGGAAAAATACCTCGTTTAGTGTATGCAGAGAGAGTGCCAAATACACATCAGGAATTTCAACTTTTTAATGTTACCTCTTCTATTCTCAATCCTTGGAAGCAGTCGTTTGGCACTGCCTGCCTCTCTGCTGTTCTGAAATGTCCCAGCATGTACTGGACTGGTAACATGAGTCAGGAGCAGAGTGCCTGTCTTAGGACAGAAGGTAAGTTGTACTTTCTCAGTTCTGTATGAATATTCTTCTGGAAATCGCAAGTGTGCGGATTCTGTTTCTTAATTAACCAGTTCAGCTACAACATCGAAAGGCCTCATCATCTTTGATGATGAAAGAGGGAAGAGGATACAATTAACTTTAGTCAAAAAAAGGAAAGACTTCCAGTAAGTAAAAGGAGGAGTTCTACTTTCACATGGTTGCAGTAGAGTATGCAGTAAGAGTGGTTTAGAAGCAAACTCTCCAAGAATGGCTGTTTGCACTCTTAAACAGGCTGTGTGCTCCGTTACTAATGTCAGTGCCAGTGTGGCTGCCTGAGAACAGTGTGTACTTGGACATCTGCTTGAGTAAGAAACTTTGGTAGTGAGGGTTTCATGACCAAGAGACAGAGAGAAATCAAGGCCTGTCCGATTACAGTTGATTGAAATCCTACAGCTTGTGTTCCATGCTTTTATTGATACTCACAAGTAGATGCTGTTTAAAAATATTGCATCTTTTATGTTGGCCCTGTGCTGTTGCAATTCAGAATCAAAAGCAAGTGGTGCTCTGTGTAGTTAACCAATGAAACTATCTGAACATTAGAGAAGAAAATTCTAATAAAAAAACTTTGTGCTGCAAGACTTTCAGTCTTTGTAACTTAAAAGTAATAAATGCTTACTTGGGACAGTTGGGGAGAACATGACAGGCTGAGCACACTCTTCAACATAAAAAATTCCAGCCCTTAACCAGAGAAGAACAGGTGTGAAATTTGTCACACAGAGCTGCAGAGGGGATAAAGTTGATTTTGAAGCCATTGGTGTAGCTTTGAGAGAGAAGTTTTAAGAGACTGCATCTTGGATACAACTGCTTAGGGAGCTGGAGCGTATGCAGAAAGCAACAGGTTGCTAAAAGCGAGGGAGCCACACATTCCCTCTGCTAATCAATAGGAAATAATACAGCCTAAGTGTTACCTACATATTTCTCAACACCTGGGATGCAGAAATGGGAGTTGGTAATGTGCCTATGACATGCTCATTTTACTTTAAACATATGCCGGAAATGGATGTCGGGTTTTTTACTAAATCTGAGACTCACACCAGCAAATTTGTTAAAGATGCAGAATCATGTTTAGCATCCTTCGTCAGGTCACTTTCACCAGTATGCACTTAAAACTAGTATCACCTGGGGTAAGCTGTTCTTTTGGGGAGGGTAGAGTTCAGATCTTCACTTGCAATATGGCAACAACGCACTTTTAAGGCTGCAATTCTAGCTTTGAATATATATGTCCAAAGACCAAGCTTAAGGAGGTGCTGCATCTGAAAAACACGTTGCCACACACACTGCCACGGTGAATAGCTACGAAACGCAATCTGGTGTAGAAGCGGGGGGGAAATCACTTTTAGTGGGTTTAATTCAGAAATACTGTTAAATCTTTCTCTGTCCCAACAACGTGATGAGAATCTCAGTTTCGATTCTGAAGTCTTCCATTTTCCTGTTTCCACAGTTGGTGTCCCTAGCTTCTATTTTTGCTCATTTACCTTTCATTTGTTATGACTGTAATGCAATTGCATTTCCAAATGACAATGTGACTTTCTCATTTTCACCTTTTTAAACTTAAGTGTTCTGAATGTTCACATCTTGCATTTATTTGCATTGGGATGCCATTGTCCTGTAAAGTGCAAATTTTAAGCATACAAATTGGCAAAAAGATTTGATAGTTTTACAGAAAGATTTGCTATCTTAAACTCAAACTGTTTTCTATTTTCATCTAAATGACCGGGATGCTATCTTTGTAATTCTTTGAGGTCATATTTGTGAAATAAACAATACATGAAAGCTTTCCTGTCATATACACTATATGTAGTCTGGAGTGTTGAGCGAACTTGAGTTCCTGAGTTGTAATAACTATCTACGTATGGTATTTCCAATTTTGAATGTGTGCCACTACCGAGATAATAATGCTGTACAATTTTGAATGGTGGTAGTTTCTGTATGGCAGTCCAGCTGAACTATTTTGATGTACTGCTTAATTTTTGAATTTTATTTTTTAAGTTGTATAATTTATTTTCTTGCAAAATAAAAATGTAATATAAAAGACCATTCACTTAGCCAAGGTATTTTGGTGTCTTGCCCTGCAAAATTGGAAAGCTGAGTTCAGGTGCTGCTCCTGAAAAATGCCACTGTATGACATTTGCCTGTCTGTTATGATCAGAGTACTTAAGCAAAAAAAAAAATCCCCACTTCCAGTTCTTTTCTTGTTACGATTTTTCAAGTACTTAAGATTATCTGTAGAGCTGGTTAGCCTTCCAAATTCTGTCTAAAGCTGAGCTGTAGTCTTTCAGTGTATCAAAGCCTGTCATGCCAAGAGTGGCTGGAGCTGCCCGACTTTGTTTATGGCATTTTTAGAAAGGGTTGTGTCTCTGTGTGACTTACTGGGATGTACTTGGATTGCTGAATGTTTTGGTGGATTTGTTTCTGAAATTATTTACAATGAATGTCACTGAAAATTACTGGTGTTGTCGCCAGGTAGTTGAGACCTTCAGGTACCTGACCCTGCAGTAAACAGTGATGTGGGAACAGTCACTTGCCTGAAGGATTCCTTTTGCTGTGGTGGCTTTGATTGTCCTTGTCTTTTAATGTGACTCTCTTCTTACATTTCAACTCCTTCCTTTAAGTGCACCAGCTAACATCAGTGTTTTGTGCTTTCTGGTCCATGCAAATGTTAGAACTATTTGGAATAAATAGCTATTTTTGAGTGACTGTTCAGGGCACATGGCGATTTGCCAACTGGCAGTTCTTGCAGGCAGAACTTTGATAGCAGGCTGCTATTATTTCCAAACTTTTTTTCCCCTCTGTTAGGTCAACATGTAGTTGTTCACAATAGTTTTCCAGGAGAGGCCAGTTATTGCAGGAGTTCCTTAGCTGAATCAACTCCTACCAGTGTAAATGGGTCACAGTTTAGGCAGAAGCCTTGACCTAAGTATGAAAGGCTCTAAACCTGGTTAATTTTTCTGATAAACTAAGAACTTGGCTCTCTTTCTTTGCTTTACCTGTCAACATGGAATCATAGAGTCATTTAGGCTGGAAAAGACCTTTAAAATCCTTAAGTCTGACTGTTAACTGTGCAGTGCACAGTCCACCACTAAACCATGTCCCCGAGTGCCACATCTACACCTTTCAAGTATGTCCAGGGATGGTGACTCAATTACTTGACAGTCATTACTCTCCATTAAGAAGCTTTTCCTAATATCCAATATAAACCTTCCCTGGCACAACTTGAGGCCGTTTCATTTACTTGTTGCCTGGGAGAAGAGGCCAAGCCAAGCCTTGCTACAACCTCCTTTCAGGCAGTTGTAGAGAGTGGTAAGGTCTCCCCTGAGCCTTCTTTCTCCAGGCTGAACACCCCCAGCTCCCTCAGCTGCTCCTCGTGAGATGTGTGCTCCTCATCCTCTCTCTAGACATCTCTCAGCATCTCTAGGTAGGCATGATGCCTGCATTTCATCCTTGTTTATTTTAGTGATGGAGAGCCACTATGCAAATTCAGTTGGATACTGTGCATCAAGTTCTGTATGCAATCTGAAACACCTGTAGGAAAGAACAGTTGGAGGCAGCAATGGCTGCTGCTTCCCTCTGCTGACCTGGGACACACTGCAGGCAAATACCATCTGCTGAGCTAAGGAAGAGCAGCACAGTGTGACTCTTTCTAATAGGCTGAGACTGAACGCTTAAAATTAGCGACTTTGAAATTTGTATATTATAGTTGTTCTTGGTGAGAACAGATGCTGAAAGAATTAAAAAAGGGAATGCTATATGGTTTTCTTTCTGGTTTTAAGACCATGGTCTAATATTACATAGGTACAGCTCAGGATTTGCCATCTATTGCAGCCATTGATCTGTACTACTGAAGACATGAGGGAAATTTGCACATCTCCTGTGTTTTTTTGAAGCAAGCAGTTGGAACTTATCTCAAGTTGAGGTAAATACTGCTGCATGTCTTTATCCAAAAAACAAAGCAGTATGTTCGTGTGTGAACATACTTTTGTTTGACAGTAGGAACAGTGACCGGAACTGTTGTCT